TCTTCCTGGGCTATGGTTCCTGAAGGAAGGAGCGCCCTCCGGTGGCTGTTCTGTTTACTCCATCGTGCGCTTGCCCTGGGGAGGTGGAGCGACTTCGTGTAACCAATAGTGATGGGAAGAGCGATGTGGTGGTGTTCCTCTGCTTGGCCTCTTCCTTTCGGCAGGGAGAGTCTTCAGGGAGCCCAAATTCTCTCTCTGTGGAAGGCTTTCCTGGTCCAGTGCTGCCTGGGATAGAACGGCAATTCTGTTGGACTCAGGGATTCAGTTAGCATTCATTTGGATTCTATTCTAAGCTACTTTTTTCTTTCTTTTTTTTTTGTCTTTTTCCTTTTTGTCGGTACCAGGGACTGCCTGCTTGCAAGGCAGGCGTGCAAGGCAGGCGCTTATGCCGCTGAGCTAAACCCCCAGCCCCAAGCTACTTCTTTCACATTAGCCTGTATTTCTACTAAAAATCTTTTTATTTTTTATTAGCATATAATAAAATTTTATTATATTAGTAAAAAATGCAATTATTAATTACATTAACAATTAAATAATTATTAAAATACATTAATATTAAATATATTAAATTATTAAATAAAATGATAATATATAATAAAAATGTATTATTTATACATTATAAATGTATATAATTATATTATGTGTATAATATAATTTATTATTTATATATTAAGATATACACGCCTATTTATTTATTATTTATATATAAATAATTTATTAATTATTTATAAAAATATATAATAGTATATCATAAAATTTTAATCAGTCATACATATTGATCACATTCATCATAGGGAATTGTACCTGTACATAATGTGTTTTAATTCTTTTTTTCGCATTCCCCTCCCCTCCTTTAACCTCTTTCCCTCCTCATTTACATATATAGGCATACTTTTAAAAATTAGTGCATGTTAGTAATATAGAATGGTGACTTTTTTATTTTTTATTTTTTGTCTTTTTCAGATAGGATCTGTCTATGCAATTCAGGCTGGCCCTGGGCTAACTTTGTAGCCCAGGTTGGTCTTGAACTTGCAAATGATTCTCCTGCCTCAGCCTCCCAAGTGCTGGGATTACAGGAATGTACCACCATGCCTGGCTAAATGGTGAGGTTTGTTTTGGAAAATTGGTACATGCATTTAACATATCTTGATCATTTCAATCTAACTTCCTCTCTTCTTCTGCTGATCTCCTTGCTATTTCCAAGAATAAAGATAGTATTTTTTTTTTTTTTTTGAGACAAGTCTCTCTATGTAGTTCATGCTGGCTTTGAACTCAACCTAGGTGTGCCTCACACTTCTGGTGGTCCTCTAACCTCAGCCTCCTGAGTGTTGGAGTTGTCACTGTGCACCACTACAACCAGCTAAGACAGTATTTTGGCCAATATCTGATGTTTCTTCTCTGTTTCTTAATATCTCTAGAACTTGAATAAGGAAGAGATGTTATTTATTCAGTTCTCTCAGAGTCTTCAGTGTCCCCATCAACATGATTGTTACTCTGAGTAACACTTATTCATCTTTACATACATCTGCAAGGTTTTACTTTTGTATATCAGCATTATCACATAAACTGGGATTCAGACTGTAAAAGAACACATGGGTGAAAAGCCAATAAATGCAATTAGGAGATGAAAGTGGGGAGGTGTGTTATTAGTCACTTTTGTGTCACTAAGACAAAGCCCCAGTACCTACAAGTTAAAGAAGAGATTTATTTTGGCTCACAGTTTTGGTTGGTTTAGTTCATGATTGGCTGGTTCCAAGGCAGAAATAACGTGGTGGAAAAAAACTGCTCCATGGCAATCTGGAAACAGAGAAGGAGGTGGTGGTGACAGGAATATACACTCCCAAACTGGGTGTAGTGACGCACACCTATAATTCTAGCATTCTGGGAGGCTGAAGCAGTAGGATCTCAAGTTTGAGCCCAGTCTGGAAAATTTAGCAACTTATAAAACTCTGTCTCAAAATAAGAAAGTTGAAAGGACTGGAATGTATCTTATGGTGAAGGCCCTGGGTTCAGTCCCCACTCTCCCAGTACACCATTACTGGGCACCCCAGTGACCCAACCTCTTCTGACCAGCTTCTACCAAACAGCACCTTTTGTTTTGATCTCATGAATAGATGAATCCATTGATGAGTATATTGCCTCTGTAATCTTAATTTCCTTCCAAAAGCCCCACTTCTGAACGTATGAGATTTTGGTGGGCATTTTAGATATAAACCATGACATTCCAACCTAAAAGGCTCATGTTCATTTCAAGATGAAAAATAGATTTAGTGTATCTTTAAGAGTTGCCAAAGTCTGAACAGTTCCAGCACTGCCCAGAAGTTCAAGTCTGAAACTCATGGCACGTTCTTATCTGTATGTTCCTATCAAAATCAAAATTAAAGTCAAATGCTTTCAACCTGCAAGGCCATAGGGTAAATATTCCTATTCCAAAAGGGAGGAATGGGAGAATAGAAGGGAATCAGACCAAAAGAGAGACCGAAAGCCAGCAGGACAAATATTAAATTCGGTAGCTGCATGTCCAGCATCCTGGGCAAGTTGTGGTGAGATGCAAGCTGTAAAGGGCTCGGGCAGCCCCATCCCTGTGGCCTGGCCAGGTGCAGCACATGGCCTCCCTCTTAGGCTGGCTCTGCGCAATGCCTTGACTTTCCTTGGCAGGTGTTCTACATTCCTGACAGCTCCAGCTTCCTGGAGTCTCCACAGCACCTTTGGCTTCACTGTTACTCCCGGCTTGTTAGTTATTTTTCAAAAGTTTATTGAGTACTAGATATATGTTAGAGTCTTAGCACAGACTATTTCATTGGATCTCAGCCACAACTGCTCTTGGTAATGGATGACAGGGTCTGAAATAGATGATATTTTGTTTTACATGTGACAAGCTGAAGCTCAGAGAGGCAAAATACCTCTTTCATGGTCATACTGCTAGTGAATGGTTTAAATTTCTGTTGGCACTTTCCTGCAATCATTTTTCAGGTACTCACTGAGCAGACTGTATTTTGCAGTGTTCAAGCTACAGAAACCAAGTGGTTGATTTTAGTAGAAGAGAAATTTATTACAGGAATTGTGCACTGCTCATAGAAATGCTTGGCAGGCTACCTGTGGGTGCTTTACAAAAGGGCACTGATGAGAATGGGCCTGCCTTTACGGTTACAGCCCATGCTGTGCCATGGACATCCTGGTTTTCAATGCTTGCCCACCGAGCTGCAGCCCACACAACCTCCTCGGTCTTGTTGCAGCCACCACTGTCTCCAGAGCTCTGTGGTTTCTGCCTCTGATGAATGGATTGTGATGGAGCGGCTGATCCACGACTGCTGTAGAGGTGGGGAATGTGCTCTCTAGGTCTGGGTCTTCCCTCCTGGGAGGTCATTTCTGCTCCCAGACTCACACAGCAAGGGGTGTCCCCAGTGTGGTAAATGTTCAGATGCTGGGGAACCAGGGGAACAAGTGGTGGCATGTGCATGTGCTCTGTGTGTGACATCGTTAGACATGGTGGAGAATATAGTGGGTCAAACCCAGAACTGAACCTGCTGGCTTCAGAGGCCTCACAGGCTCACTTCCAACACGTGCATTGGGTTGGAACTATAACTGGTAAAATTCATTCACTCTGATTTTCCTTTAGGTAGTTCAGCACTCATGGGGAGAAGGCAGAATCAATTATTATTTTACTTCATTTTATTTTTGTGGTGTTGGAGATTTAACCCAGGGCCTTGTGCATGTTAAGCATGCCTTCTACTTCTGAGTCATAGCCCCAGATATTCCTGTTTTATATACTGGAGAAAGCCAGGAAGACAATGGGTCTGAGGTCTCACCACTAGCAAGTAGCCAAGGTGAGACTTGGGTTTGTCTTCCAAATCCAGGTCTAGTGCTGGGCTAACCAGAGATAAAATGTGTGCAAGAATACTGTACCATGCTGTACTCATTCCTTTTTATTACTTTTGAAATCAGGATGCTTTTTATAATCAATAGAATGTCATACTTTAATCGACAACTTCTTTATTCCAGGAGGCATGTAACATAATGGAGAATCTTCAACTGATGAAATCTTGGATTCACTGGAATACAGGCACTATGATTCGAGTTAGAGTATTTGCGGAGCATTCATAAGACCGTGGGTTCAATTTCCAGAAACACACACACACACACACACACACACACACACATGCACACGCACTCTCTCTCTCTCTCTTCCCATCCATCCATGAGGTAGAAAGTGACAAAGGCCAAAGGAGAAATGAGACATGAGGGAAGACTTTGTGGAGAAATTGTACAAGTCCACAGTTCCTTTCCTGTAATTCTAAACTCCAAAAGTCTCTAAAAACTAAGTCCTCCCTTTTTTTCCAAGTTTGGTGCCAAAATGCATTTGACAGTAAAACCTGACTTTAACTGATGTGAATTCACTTATAACCTTTAGTTATTTCACTTAATGTGAAGATCTATATGTTCAGCTGCAGAAATATTAATGTTTGATAATGAAGTGTTTTTTCTAGGGCCTGAGGGGAGGTGGAAAAGTTGTTACCTAGTTTTGGGTTTATGTAGCTCATTGCTTCTGCAAAATTCTATACCTCAAAACACACATGGTTCTGAGGGTTATGGCTGAGGGACTTTAAGTGGCATCTGGTAGATGGTATTGAGATCTTTAGAGCTTCAGAAGAGATTTTAGGAAAGGGAATCCATGCAGCTCACATCAGCTTGGCTCTAGCTATAAATTATTGTCTCACCATTAAACTTGCCTTGAGGGCAGGGATGGATTGGGACAAATACTGTGCTCTCCCTGGATTTGTGACTCATCCAGCTAGAGGGTTGGACTTTCTGAGTTTGGTTTTTTCTGCTTAGTATCAGTCTCCTCCTTTTCCCACAAATCACCTGACTTCCCTCAAACCCTGAAACACACCCTTGGCTGAAAAACAGGATTAGGCAATCTTCGAAACTCCCCATTTCTCCTCTTCCCATGGAGCCCTGATCTCCTCTGGATCGCAGACCTGGGTGGAAGATGCAGTTCTGGTTTCAGAAGCAGAGGGAGCTCCAAGATCGAGGCTGGACTACTGTTCCCTGGAGTGTGGTCTCCCAGCCCCCTCTTTGTTTTGATCAGGGAATTTCGGACATGCACCCTTGGGTAGGGAATCGTATGCACGGAACCAAGACAGGGAGATCGGCCAGAGGTTCCTGCACAGGGAGCGACAAGGCCTGCCGCCTCTGGGAGCCCACAGTGTCGCCCAGCATGAACGCTGGCAGGAGAGAGGACTGACTCATTTTCTCCCATCAGCTTCTGAAGGTAAAAGCCTGAAAACTGCACCACAGAGCTTTGATGGAAGAGAAAAGTCTGGGATAAGATAGAGGGCTGGGAAGAGTAGACCAAGAAAAGGCAGAACACAGACAACCTATTTCTCTCATGCTGACCCCACCCACCCCCACCTGCCCACCTCATACCATTGTTTTTAGAGATAAAAGCAATTTTGGTAAGACTTTCCTAGGGACCCTTGGGAAATATCTTGTCTTTGTAGTAAAAAAAACAACAACAACAACCAAGGACTCGGGGCAGCACTAGCCCCCTCACGCTACTTCTCCCAAGGTCCCTGCCCTGTCCTACAGAAGGAAGCGCGTTCCCCCATCAGTGGTCACTGAGGTGTCAGCAGAAACACATGCACCGTGAGCAAGGTAGCCCAAAGTGATGGTGCCATTGGGAGGGTGGGGGCTGTGCTAGCTGGGTGGGCAAAGACTCCTGATAACCCATAGAAATGGGAATACTGTTCTGCAAGGGCAGGAGAGAGACTGACAGAGGGGGCTGGGAGTGGGGCAGAGAACAGAAGAGGAGGAGGCTGGGAGAAGTGACTTATTCCCTTTGGAGAAAAATTGGAGAAAGCCAGTGAAGCAATGGGAGAAGATTTAGTTCTAGTTTAGAAAATTAGTTGAAGTTGGATCAGGGAGGATGTGAGAGGCCAGGTGTCACCTGGTGACTTCTAGTGGTCCTACTCTGTTAAACTGTGTTTTTCTTAGGAAAGTGACACTGAACTCCAGGTGACTGCTCATCACCAAAGCGGGTGCCTTTCACCACTTCAGCTCCAAAGTCCAGAGAAGCAGAAAGCCAGGACTGGTGACATGGGCAAATCGCCAGCAATGTGGTGAGTGACCCGGGATCTCCAGAGATGTACACAGTCTCCATTTCCTCCAGCTTCTGAGAAAAGGGCTAAGACCCGAAGCCTGAGTTTTGGTTTATTCCACTTTAAGATTCTCTTTCCCTTTCCTTTCACCCGTGAGTACTGCACAAGGTCCTGAGTCCCTTGGTGATGCCTCTCATTGTGCCTTCTCCCTCAGGTGCGTGGTCCTGTTTTCTCTTTGGGCCTGGGCTTATGCAGAACCTACGCTGCATGGAGAGATCCTGTCCCCTAACTACCCTCAGGCGTACCCCAATGATGTAAAGCAAACATGGGATGTCGAGGTTCCAGAAGGATTTGGGATCCACCTGTACTTCACCCATCTGGACATAGAGCTGTCAGAGAACTGCTTGTACGACTCAGTGAAGGTATACTTCATGGAGGACAGTCGGGGAGGCCAGGCCAGGGTGAGGAGGATGTAGGAGTGGGTGCCTCAGGCATGTTGTGACCAGAATCAAGGAGCCTTGTGGGAGCAAAGGATGTCCTCCTTTTGTCCTTTTTTTCTGTCATCTCCACTTCAAAATATTAACCTTTTTAAAGCATTGTTGTAACTCTTCCCTTAGATAGTGTCAGGAGGTATTGAAGAAGGAAAACTCTGTGGACAGAGGACCAGCAAGAATCCCAAATCCCCCATCATAGAAGAGTTCCACATCCCCTACAATAAACTCCAGGTGACCTTTACATCGGATTTCTCCAATGAAGAGCGTTACACCGGATTTGCTGCTTATTATGTTGCCGTTGGTAAGATTCAAAAGATTTGAAGCAGAAAGATTCTTGCACAATGCATCAAGTGAGGGTTCTTTGTGTAATTTTACAAAGTATTAGCTGGGCATGATGGTGTGCACCTGCAATCCCAGCACTGAGGAAGCTGAGGCAAGAGGATCACCAAGTTCAAAGCCAACCTGGAATACACAGTGAGACTCTTTAAAAAACAAAACCAAACCAGGCCAGGAATTTAGCTCAGTGACACAAACGCGCCTGCCTGAGATGTGCAAGATCATGAGTTCAATCTCCAGTACTGCAAAGATCAAAACAAAACAATAACTAAACTATTGACTTGTCCTGGGTCCCTTCAAGTGTCACCTTTGTGAAATGCAAATGGATGATCATATTTTAGTAGTGATGGGTAATAATAATAGTAGATAAAAAATGGTAACTTGTTGAGATCCACTACGAATTGGGCACTATGAGCAATTTTGCTAAAGTTGTATTATTTTCACTGCAACACTTCAAGGTAAGTGTCTTCATATAAAAGTGAGAATAACAAAATTAGTAATGTAGCAAGAATTGCCATGGAATGCGCAGTTTTCAAATCCGTTTATACCACATTCACACTTTCAGTTGTGTTTCAGGTATCTTCAGGTTGAAATGGAGTTAGGAGCTCTTCTAAATTATTGTTCAGATTTGAGAGAAGGAACCACATTGTATAATGTGGTAAATGTGCTCCTTATTTGCTCCTGCGGAAGACCCTTGTCTTTGCCACTGAAACGCTAAGTGGCAAAGCAGCAGTTTCTCGGGGTGAAGGTTCCCCACGCTAGTCCAGTGGCAGGGCACAGCTCTGGAACCTCAGTTCGGGAAAGTGATATAGAATCATACCATTCTGAATGTGGGTTTTGGAGGCCTTTAAGCAATGAATCTGCCTTGTAGAACTCTTTCCTTGTAGATTTGGGTTTTACCTCATTCCTCTTTCCAGGTTCTTGTCCTTGACCTCCATCTTTCTTTGCTCCTTATAGATGTAAATGAGTGCACAGATTTTGCCGATGTCCCTTGTAGCCACTTCTGCAACAACTTCATTGGTGGCTACTTCTGCTCCTGTCCCCCAGAGTACTTTCTCCATGATGATAAGAGGAATTGTGGAGGTGAGCTTGTCATCAAGGGGGTGGGAGCCCTCAGAAAGGGCATCGCCTGTCTTCCAATTTTGATTAGGCTCACCCTCACTTGACATCCATTCTGTTACCCATAAATTCAGAGAGAAGTTCAGGAGGGGAAGAAGATAAGGAATGTTAGCCTTCTATCGCTGTGTGGAAACGCTTGACAGGAGCAATTTAAAAGGAAGAGGTGTTTATTTTAGCTCATGGCTTCAGCCCTTTCAGTCTGTAGTCAGTTGTCTAATGTCTCTGGGCCTGTGATAAGGCAGAACATCACGGTGGGGGTGCGTGGTGGAATAACCCTGCTCATCCGATGGTGGCTGGAAGCAGAAAGAGAGAGAGACAGACAGAGATACTGGGACAGACAGACAGAAATAGAGAGAGAGAGAGACAGAGACAGAGACAGACAGGGAAATAGAGAGAGAGAGATACAGACTAGAGTTCCAGTGTTCACTGATGGACATGTCCACCATGATCCAACTTTCTTCTACTGAAACCCGTCTTCTAAAGGTTTTACCATTTCCCAGTAACACCACAGGCCAAGCCTGTAATATATGGGAATTTAGGAGACACTGAAGATCTAAACCATAATACAAAGGTACAGGATAAAGTTAGTTAATTGGAGAAGAGAAATAGATGCCTCTGAAGAGTCTACCCCAGGCTATTCATAACCGTGGAAGTCTTCAACATGAGCACAATGATGGGACTCAAACAGGCACTGGATGTCTCTACTGGTGGGTACAGGGTATATAATTGTTCCCGTGGACTGCACTCAGAAATGGACCCTAGGAGAGTCTGAATGAGGGACTGTCAGTTTATGACAGAAGCAGTGGTAGAGTAGGGCAGGCACTTCTTTGCTTAGCCCTCTATTTGAGTCTCTCTTTCTCTTTTTCTCTCTCAGTCAACTGCAGTGGGGATGTATTCACTACACTGATCGGGGAGATTGCAAGTCCCAATTATCCCGAGGCATACCCTGAAAACTCAAGGTGTGAATACCAGATTCAGCTGGAGGAGGGGTTCCAAGTGGTGATGACCTTGAAGAGAGAAGATTTTGATGTGGAGCCAGCTGACTCAGAAGGGAACTGCCGGGACAGCTTAGAGGTGCGTGGCTGATGATTAGTTCTTGCCATCGCTCCAACTCATGCAGAGGGATGATGAGTTCGCCCTCCTCCCTTTCCCTCGCAGCCTGTCTCCCTCCCCTTCTCCCTTCTCCTCCTTCTTTTCTTTTTTGTGTTACTAGAGATTGAACTCAGAGTGTTTGCACTGAGCTACATCCTCAGCCCTTTTTTATATTTTGTTTTGAGGCAGGGTCTTGCTAAGTCGCTGTTTCCCAGGTTGGGCTTGATTTTTTAGTCTTCCTGCCTCAGAGTAGTAGGATTACAGGCATGTGCCACCATGCCGGTGAGAGAATTCTTGAAGACAAAATTATTTTTCTTCCTGTCCCTTATTTTTATTTTTTATTTTTGTCTTTTTGAGACGAGGTGTTGCTACACAGTTCAGGCTATCCTTGGGCTCATTTTGTAGCCCCGGCTGGTCTTGAACTTGCAACGCTCCTCCTGCCTCAGCCTCCCAAGGGCTGGGATTACAGATGTGCGGCATCATGTCTGGCTTTCTTCCTGACCCTTATTTTCTTTTTTCCTTATTATTTGATATTCTATTTATTATTTTATTGCTTTTACCTCCCCATTCCCATTTAATCTTTTTCCTTTTATTATTTCTCTTTTCTGGTTTCATTATGTTGTTTCCTTTCAGTTTGTTACAAGAAGGCAACGGTTTGGTCCTTACTGTGGTAATGGATTCCCTGGGCCACTAACCATAGAAACCAAGAGTAATACTGTTGATATCATCTTTCAAACTGACCTAACAGGGCAAAACAAAGGTTGGAAACTTCGTTACCATGGAGATCGTAAGTAGCCTAGAAGTTCCTCTTTGGTGATAATGAAGTCTCTGGACAAATGTAGAATCAAAACAGATGGACTCTTTTTGATAAGAGTCCTGAGACACTTCAGTTCCTCAGGAAGATTGAACTCTGTCAATATTGCTAGAAATGTCTTGCTGTCTAGTAGTCCTTCAACTGGACCTGACAATGCGGAGGAGTTGGGGTAGAGACTCAGTAAAGCCATATTATGTTGGAACACGAGGCATTGGAACTGAGGATGACTGATGATTTTAGAAAACGTGAGAGTGATGTAGAAAGAATAGTCTCTACCTAGCTAGTAAAAACTTTTTTTTCTTTCCCAATTCTCATCTTTTCCAAGCAATCCCCTGTCCCAAAGAAGTCCCTGCCAATACAATTTGGGAGCCTGAAAAGCCAAAATATGTGTTTAAAGATGTAGTGAAGATAACCTGTCTAGAAGGATTCGAAATTGTGGAGGTGAAGTATGCTCAGCTTCTCTGCAGATCTCTGGCCCCAGGTCGGGATTAACAGACTGTCCTGTTCTTTGCCTGATGTCCCTGTTAGAGCAAAGTATGAACATCTACACCAGGACAAAGTGGCTTGAGATCTTTGCCCTCGTGGGTCATGGAGCTCTTTGGCCAGCTTGACATCCTTTTGCTCTGTTTTGAGTCTTCCTGGGGAAGGGCATCGGACAGTGGTCTTTTAGTCCTAAGTCTTGGGTGCTTTGGGTCATTCTGCTAAGATGCTCCTAAGCTTTTTTTTTTTTTCCTGTGAGGATTTCTCTTTGATCTCAGGCCAGAGATCAATTACATTTTGGTTTTTGATTTCTCATATCTATTTTTATAAACTAATGATGATATCTATTCTCTAGGGAGGCTCTGACCCAATGTCTTTGTATTCTACTTGTCTGAGCAACGGAATGTGGAGTAATTCCAAAGCGAGATGCCAACGTATGTGTCCCATCAATGTGAAACTTTTAATTTTCCTCTCAAAGGCAATTGCAAAATCTGCCCAACAAAATTCAGATGTGGTGGCTGGCATAGTGGTGCATGCCTGTAGTCCTAGCACCTGGGAGATTGAGGTAGGAGGACTGCCTTGAGTTTGAGGACAGCCTGGGTTACATAGTGCGTTCAAGGCCAGCCTAAACTACACAACAAGACCCTATCTCAAAAAAAAAAAAATGTGATGCTGTGCGTGTGGTGGTACATCCCACATGCTCCCAAGGCTGAATAGAAAGATCTCAAATTTGAGACCAGGTTGGGCAGATTAGTGAGTCTCTGCCTAAAACTAGAAGGCTGAAGGTGGAGCTCAGGGTGAAGTCTTTGCCTACCATATGTGAGGACTTGGGTTTCGTTCTTACCACCCTGCACCCCGGTTCAAATGCATGCTTTCTTCTTCAGGCTTGTGAGAGAGTAATTGGGTTTGAGAAGTGAAACCAGTCATGGATAATTTTTAGTTCCAGTCCTGGGCTGCTCACAGGTCCTTTAGACTAGTAGTTTTCTTCTAAAGAAAGGATCTGTGGAATTGGTAGTTAAGACCCCCAATTAGGTGTCTTCCTGGCTTCTGCAGGATCCTCCGCCAACCACTGAGCAACAGGTTCCTCTCAAGCTTTTGAGAGTCCATCTGCATTGGAAGATTTCAGTGGGCTGGAGGGTTGGGTGCGTCATTTGTAGAGGCTGGTATAGGGAGATTCATCCTGGGTGCTTACGAATATGGGGAAAGGAAGAAGGCAGGATGGCACAGGCCCTGTGGCTCTTCCTGGGAGGAATTGGCTGTTGGACCACTCATCTCCTCCCTTCCTCTTGTAGCTGTGGACTGTGGTGAACCTGAACCCATTCGAAATGGCAAAGTTCAAATGCCAGCAGAGACTTTATTTGGTTCCGTCTTTCGCTACACTTGTGAGGAACCATATTACTACATGGAACATGAAGAAAGTGGTAGGTTTCTTCTACCAGCATCATCTTTCTTCTACCAGCATCATCTGAGAGAGTGTGAATGTGTTGGAGGGTAAAGAGTATGACCTTTCTGAGTCGCAGAGAGTTTATTTAAAAATGGGGGAGACAGAACAGATCTTATCACCCTCTTGGCTTAATCTAAGGATACAGCTTTCATGTGGGATGGGGGATATTCTCACGGTCATTTGTGAGGAATCTTAGAGGTCAGCTTAGCTTCATGGCTGCAGCAGGAATTCCCTACATCACTCACTTTATGTGGCTATCCAACTTTGGACCAGTTGTTTCATGTAAAACTCGTGGGGGGATGTTTCTAGCTGCAGGTTGACCTGCTATGATGACTGACTTTCTTTTTCATTTTCATTTAATTATTTCTTTTTCTTGTGGTGCTGGGGGTTGAGACCAGGGGCTCATGCATGCTAAGCAGGTAGGTGCTCTACCACTCAGCTACATGCCCAGCCCATGACTGGCTTTCTTGATGTAGAGGCCTTAGTACTAAGTGAGACTTAATACTAAAATGAATTATTATCGTGACCTGTCCTTCCCCTTCCTCTTCTTCTTTTTCTCTTCTTTTCTATCCCTACTTGAACTTTCTCAATCATTCCTCCAACCATCTTCCTCTGCTTTGGAGCCACGGCCCTCTTCCTCTCCTCTGTTCTGGCTAGGATAGAGGGCTGAGGTGTTCTTTGAGGGTGATTGTTTTCTAGCTGACCTGATATGACTGCCTGTTCAAACCCCAGAGACGCTGAGGCTATGCCTCGAAGAGGGGATGGAAAGAAGAGAGCCAGTGTGGCAGAGGGTGTGATTATGTTCTTTGTGCTCTTCCAGCTGAGTATCGGTGCTCTGGTAACGGGAGCTGGGTGAACGAGGTGCTGGGCACAGAGCTGCCGAAATGTGTTCCAGGTAATCAGGACGTAGGTGTGGGCAAGGACAACAGCCACAGGTGCAGGGGTGTGGTGGCGGCCACCATCTGAGAGTACTCTAACCTTCCGGAACAAGGGCTTTATCTGGTCTTCCTGAGTCCTGTTCAGTGAGGTGGTGTTTGCCTGCCAGGGTTGGCGGTTGAGGGAATAACCCACAAGTCAGGTTGAGGTTGACTGAAGTGGAAATAGAAAAGTCAACTGCTGGCAGTTGGTGGCAGAGTGAGGGCCAGTTAGGTCGGGCAACATGGGCACAGTAGATAAACACAGAATGGCTAAAAGCCGGGCCTGGAGGTACAGACTGAAGAATCATCATTCATAGCCAAGTGTGGTGGCTCACGCCTGTAGTCCCAGCACTCGGGAGGCTGAGGCCAGGAGGATCTTTGCGAGTTCGAGACCAGCCTGGGCTACAAAGTGAGCTCAGGGCCAGCCTGATCTGCATAGTGAGACCCTGTCTTAAACAGAGAAAAAAAAATCATCATTCAGAAAGCTAGTTATTCTATTAAAAGTCTGGGGGGAGGGAAACAAGATACAGAAGAATAAAAAATAAAAGAAATGAAGGATTGTAGCTGGGCATGGTGTCACATGCCTATAGTTCCAGCATTTGAGAGGCTGAAGCAGAAGGATCGCATGAGTATGATGCCAGCATGGGCGACATAGTGAGTTCAAAGCCAACCTGAATTATGTAGTGAGACTGTCTCAAAAAGAGAAAGGAGGGCTGGGGATTTAGCTCAGTGGCACAAGTGTCTGCCTGGCATGTGCAAGGTTGTGAGTTTGATCCCCACTACAAAAAAAAAAAAAAAAAAAAAAAAAAAAAAAAAGAGAGAGAAAGGGAGGGAGGGCAGGAGGGTCAGAATTGAGGGCAGCACTGGGGCAAAAACCTGAATAATAATAATAATAACAATAATAAATAACAATGCTGCTAAGCACTCTGGTGCATTTGTCACCCATGTCCCTGTGACAGTCCTGTGAGGTAGCATTATGCATGAGTGAACTGAAGGTGAGCTCACAGAGTTAGTTAGGGATAGGGTTAGGCTTTGAACCCAGTGAGCAAAGGACTTAGATTAGCTGACTGCGGTAGGGCACCAATGGGGAGTGGCAAAATGGTCCTAACTGGAACCAGTCTGTGGGAGTGGAAGGTCAAGATCAAACCAGGGTGGAAAATAAAAGACAAAAAGCAAAGAAAAGATGAAACCAGAGAAGCCTCTCTCTACATAACAGGAAGACTTGGCTTTCTTCAGAGAGACTTGGGCACAGCTAAGTCTGTGGTAGAGGTGAGAGAGAAGGGTTTCCTCCTGGGCCTCAGGAGAAAACGGGAAGCTTGCCTCCTCCACAGTCTGCAGGGAAAGAGGCTCCTAGTGGGATTCCGGGCTCCTGTGCTGAGTGCATGCATGAAGTTGTGCCTGAAATGCTGGATCTAGCTGTGGGTAGCATAGCACACTAGTTCTTTCTGGATGTTAACGCATAGGCTGCCTCTGCTTAGCCAAGTTGGCTAGTGGCACTGGCAAAGGGGACATTTAGGGTAACTGGAGATGGTTGACTGTATTAGGAATTCCACCTCCCAGTGGTGAATTACTGGAGTGGTTTGGAGAATTCTCAGGAGTTGGCACTGTTTCTTGTCCCTCCCCTCCTGTCCTCTTTCTTCCTAGTGTGTGGAGTGCCCAGTAAGCCCTTTACAACATCACAAAGGATATTTGGAGGCTCCATTGCGGATATTGCGAGTTTCCCCTGGCAAGTCTTCTTCCATTCCGAAAGGGCTGGTGGGGCCCTCATTGATGAATACTGGGTGCTGACAGCAGCCCATGTCGTGGAGAGAAACTATCATCCGACAATGTACACTGGGTTGAACCTCACGAAGAGCTCACTGTTAGCCAAGACCCATTCGCTCGCCGCTGAGAGTGTATTTATTCACCCAGATTGGCAGCGGGTGGATGACCCAAGCATGCGAACCAATTTTGACAATGACATTGCGCTCATACGGCTGAAACAGCCAGTGAAGATGGGCCCAGCTGTGTCTCCCATCTGCCTGCCAGGCGCCTCCCTCAACTACAGCTTGTCAGTAGGGGACCTGGGTATGATCTCGGGCTGGGGTAAGACAGAGAAAAGAGATTGGGTTGTCCAACTCAGAGGAGCCGTATTACCTGTAACTGCTTTAGAGATGTGCCAGGGGGTAAGACCGAAAAATCCAAAACTGGACCCCAAGTCATATATTTTCACAGAGAACATGTTCTGTGCTGGAGGATCGGGTGTGGACAGTTGTCAGGGAGACAGTGGTGGAGCTTTTGTTGTCAAAAGGCTCATAGAAAACAGATCTAAATTTTATGTCTTTGGTGTGGTGTCCTGGGGAATTGAGTGTGGGACCTATGGGGTCTACACCAAGGTACAGAACTATGTTGAGTGGATAAGAAGGACCATGAAGGAGTATAGCACCCCCCTTCAGGACTGACCACACATATCTTCTCTATGGGTGTGACTAGGCCACTGTGCCCAGCTCCTTGTTATTGTCCCATCATTTTATGCTGACTGAGAGGAGACGTGGGATCATGATTAAAATAGAACACAATTTTCAGGAAGCCTGGCTGGATATCATGTTTGATCACAGAATTGTTAGTGATTCAGGTGTGGCCTGCAGATAGGCTGGGAGGGGTGCTCCTGTCTCCTACTATTCTCCAGGGATACCTTAAGTTTTTGTTTCTTCTTTACTTGTTTAATATTCTATTTGCTTTCTAATTCTCAATGCCTATTATCTACTTCCAATAAAGCATGTTTATAATTCATTTCTGGCTGATGGACTTTATTCTACATCAAGACTTCATAACAGCACAGGGGAGTAGAAAGAGATAGAATGTGGGCACCTAGCCACTCCCATTTTATTTGTCACAAACGCAGGGAATTCAGCTTTTCTGCTTTCTTCAGTGGAGATTCCTGAGTACTGCACTGTTAGACTTGGCTGAGTTTCTTTTGTTTGTTTGCCTGTTTGATTGGTTTTGCGATAAGGTCTTGTGATGTAGTTCAGGCTGGCCTTGAACTCACTATGTGGCTCAGGTTGGCTTCAAACTCACCACGATTATCCTGCTTCAGTATTCCAAGTGCTGGAATTATAGGCTGTGCCTCCACACCTAGCCTTCTTTCTGAAGAGCTGGAGCTGGAATCTAGATCTTATACATGCCAGGTGAGCACTCTGCCACAGAGAACTAATATCTGCCCCTCCATTTCTCTCTTTCCTCTCTGTGCTCAGGATCAAACCTAGAGACAGCATTTTTTACTCTGAAGACAAGAGTACTATCTTAGAGTGATGATTGTACTATGAAAAGTCAAGGATTCAGGGGAACTCTGGCCTGTTTGGTGTGACGGTGGCTTTCAGGAAGGCAGTTTTTACCAGAAGCCAGCAGGGTTGTAGTTGGGGCTTATCAGGAAAGGACTCTGATCTTCCATAGACCCAGAGGGCTGAATGCAACAGTTGACTTTAGAGTGGATGGTCAACACAAGCGGGAACTCTATCAGCAGGGCCAGAAGAATCACGGCATGTCATAACACAGGTTGATGTCAAGGCACCCAAGTGGCACAAAGCCATGGTGCTACTCTGTACAGTGCAGTGGAACTGACAGGGCACTGGACTGTAGGATTTAGGTGGGAGAAAGAGGATTTTTCTGAGATTGAGAAACAGGGGGCATGGTGGTATATGCTTGTAATCCCAACATTCTCCAGAGGCTAAGGCAGGAGGATTTGCAAATTTGAGCCCAAGTTGGGCAATTTAGTGATTTAGCAAGACTCTGTTTCAAAAAAAAAAAAAAAAAGAGGAGATGAAATGGGGATGTAGCTCAGTTCAAAGGCCCTGGGTTCAATCCCCAGGGGGCCACGCCCACCTGAAAAGATTGAGAAACATAATCTGTGACAGAGACGTTCCTCTTCCTGTTCCTCCTCCTTTAAGAGCAGGAAAATTTATTGGGGAATATAAATGGAGAATAGGAATAGCTCCTGAGAGATAGGAGGGGTCCCAAATGGGTGCTAATGAGCTCTGCTTCTCAAAAGAAGTTTTATGAAGCAAAATCATGAGGCAGGTACAACATGAGTGAAAATTATGATTAACTGATAAGATTGCAAGACTTAGGTAATATTGATCTAATGGTAACGAGGGTATAGGGATGGCATCATTAATCTTGGCTGTTTTAATAGTCTTAGTAAGTGGGAGAATGATCCACCCCTAATGAGGCAATGAGAAATCTCAAAGGAGTAAAACCAATAATCCCAAGATTCTGTTTATCCCTCAGGGAAGTATACAAATTTAGCCACTGTGATTTTAATCTTCTTCAGATGCACCTGTAGCCACAGTTCTGATGTGTTCTCATCTTCTGCACTGACTCCCTCAAGAGCCCACCTTTGGCTCTGTCTACAATATTTCTATCTAATTTAGCTGTCTGTAATATTTCCCCGCTCTGAAGGGCTATCTCTAACTGTGGCTAGGGAAGAAGGGGTGTAGTTTCCATCTAGCTGCTTCAAGCTGAGAAGGATCAGTGTAGCGGAAATCATAGTCACAGGCCTTCTGCAGAGAGTAATCTAATGACTTTGGCTCATTAGATGACTTGGTAAGAAGTCATGTTGCAGTTTAGCAGTTGAATTCCTTTTATGATGTTGGTCTAGTGGATCCTAGTAAGAGGAGTCTGGCATCTATGTCTAAGCATGATTTCTTAGAGTTTGGCAGCCTTCAAATTGTGGGATCCTATAGAAATGATTCCATCATGTCCTGGGTCCTTGCTGACCTAGGAGGACCAGGGCCAAAATATTGACTGTCCTTTTAGTCCAGTTACCTCTCTAGTTTTAGGCTCTAAACTTCAGTTGTTGAACACCCAGAAGAGAAGATCAGTTATATCAGTACTTCAGTGGGAGCAGTGAGCTTAACTATGATAATTTCATCTGTATGTCAAGCACTTTGAAATATAAACTACAGGCAAAAGATTATTGCTAACCAACCATGGTTGTTGTATTAGTTGAGTCCCTGTGAATGTGAACAGACAAATAGTCATATAGTTTTACAGAGAAAACTTGAGATAAAAAGCCACACACAGCTTTACAGAATGACAAGTGTGATGATATTATCTTTGTAACACACTTAAATAGGATAGCCTTTTTAGTCAAACATCTTAACTTGATCACAAAACACTAACACAAAGAAATTGTCACCTAATTAATTATCCTTCAACAGGATGCCATCCAAGAAGAATGTACCTGTCAATAAATGTACCTTAGACATTTATAACGTCTAGCTTTAATTTTTAGTGTGGACTGCCCACTGCCTGAACATCTCTAAGTGTAGCGACACATATACAACATACACATCATATAAATTTTTAAAAAAACTATCATCTGACAGGTGGCCTCATGCTGGCTTGAGAAGTTCCTCTTATCACAAGTGGCTGGAGCCAAGCATGGTGGCACATGTCTGTAATCTCAGAACTCAGAATGCTGAGGCAGAGGGATCATTGCAGGTTTGAGGCCAGCTTGAGCTGCGTAGTGAGTTCGAGGCCAATCTGTTCCACAGGATGAAATCTCATGCAAAACAAAACAAAACAAAACAAAACAAAACAAAACAAACCCAAGTCCTGGAGCACAAGAGAAAGGCAGATATCTAAGTCTAAAAGAAAAAGTTATCACTATAAACAATCCTGGTTTTACATCTTATAAGACCTGTACACCTGGAAGACATGAGTACACTTATTATACCATGAAATTAACAATAAGGAGTATCACAGCTATATGAAAACCTGTTAACTTAGATTTGTATCAAGAGCATCTCTTAATAAAACTTTCTTGTTTTACTCACAGAAAATTTAACCTTTTGATGATAACCAAAGTGAACATATTACAATAATATGTTTAGCAACATTTGTCATGGAGGGATTCCCATAAAGTTGTAGAAATTATTTGGGTCCAATTAGAGAAGAAAGACTGGACTAATAGCCAGATGTAGTGGTATACACCTTAATTCCAGCACTCGGGAACCTGAGGCAGGAGGATCACTGTGAGTTTAAAGCCAATGGGGCTACATAATGACTTTAAAACCAGCCTGAGCTGGGCACGATGGCACATGCCTGTAATCCTGGCACTTGGGAGGCTGAGGCAGGAGGATCATTGCAAATTTGAGACCAGCCTGGGCTACAAAGTGAGCTCAAGGTGAGTCTGAACTGCATTCGTCAAAAATACAAAGTAAATAAACAACCAAAAAACAAAACAAAGCACAAAACAAAACAAAAAAACCCTCAAACAAAACAACAACAAAGAACCCAAAAGCAACCAACCAACAAACAAAAAACTCAACAAAACCAAAACAGCCTGAATTACAGAATGAGACACTGTCTCAAAAAGCAGAAGAAAGAAAGAAAGAAAATTAAAAACATTTTCAGGTAGCAGCTCCTTTATTCACAAGGAAGAGTCCTATCCACCAGTTTCCCTGAGCCTAAATTAACAAAATTAATAAAATTTTAGACGACTTATGAGAATCAGATCATAACAAATAACACATTATTCTTGATCCATGAAAGACTCTCAAGTTAGTATGCAATACAAATGCATTGCATTTGTAAAACCAATCTTGATATCATTTTGATCATCTGGAAGCTTGGGTGGAAGCATGTCCTTAGCTCTAATGACATTTGTCTATAATCCAACTTGAGTTATGGACAAATATTTTAAAAATTCTAAAAAGCAGACAAAAGAAATTGTTGCGCTAAAAAAACTCCCCAGCTATATGTAAACAATCACAACTGAATGGATACACAAGCCCCCATAAGATAATTGTTAATATACAATAGTGCACTCAGATGCATTTGGCCTAGTTGAATTACAATAACTATTTTACAGTTTTTAAGTTTTATAGACTAGTCAGAATATTTGTAGGTCAATTAACATAGATCTCTTCTAGTAAAATTAGAATTAATAAATATTTTACATTTGTGAAAGCAGAGACAGTTTTAAGATGGGGTCTAGGCTGATAATTCATATGATTAGAATATCCCACTACGTAGTCTTCTCATTGTTATTTTGATAGCCATCATTTTTGGATAGTCACAGCTGAGAGCCAAAACTGCTATTTTGATAGTTACATGTAATTGTTTCCTCTAGAAGGGCAGACTATTTCTTTTAATTTTTTTTATTTTGTAGGTAGTAAAATACAACAGAACAAGACAGAACAAAGCCTATTGAGACAGTGTAGTGAAATTGGTATAGAACTTCACAGCAGCTTATTGGGATAACAGTAATAGGTATCACAGTATATCTCATTATCTTCACAATAGTAGTTCTTTCAATCACATATAGCAAAACAAAATGAAGTGCAGAACTCTGTAGAACTTATCAAAACAGAGAATTGAATAGAGCAGTACCATTAATCAGAATAAAGCAAAACAGTAGTAAAAATATTTGCCTTCAAAAAGATGGTAGAAGGAAATCCCCCTTATTTGCTATATTGCACATGTTCAACCTCCCAAGAGATGCTCAGATCTCTGGTTCCCATTTGCTAAACGGGGACAGGGGAAGTGGGATGTTTGACTGTGCACTGGTGGGCTCACTATTGCTTAACAGGGAGTCCAGGCTGGTTGCTTGGTTTCCCAGTGCCCTAAGTTCCAACATGGCACAGATCTCAGGAGACGCTTGTGGTTCTCCCCCTAGAGGGACTGTAGCCTGCCATACCACAGCTGCTTACCAGGTTGGCAAGCTGGTTGCTTGGTTTCCCAGTGAAGGGCAGACTATTAAAAGATAATTTTAATTATTTCTTGGGCTG